CTTAACTAACACCCTGTATATAAAAAAGGTATATATATATACCAATTAATTTTTTTAATAGAAAAAGAGGTAGTTGCTTTCCAATTTTCATTATCCCGGTAAAAAATTTTTCATGCATGAATATGTATAAATATGTATAAACATACATAAATACGCAGAAATATTTATAAACATGTATAATTATGTACGAAATATGTCCATACATATTCATACATCCTTCTTTCTTTTGTAAAATTACTTTTTAGTGTAATAGAAATAATAATAGTAATGTGAAAACATAAAAAATAATTAAAGGGATAATTTTCGCACTATTTGTTTTAGAAAAAATCAAGTTTGAAGAAATACAAAAAAAATTATTTATGTTATAATTATGCATAATTATATATGAGCAAATTTTTTTACATTTTTTAAAACTTGTTATTTCTAAAACAAATAATACGAAAATTATCCCTTTAATTATTTTTTATGTTTTCACATTACTATTATTATTTCTATATTACACTAAAAAGTAATTTTACAAAAGAAAAAAGTATGAACATGTATGGACATATTTCATATATAATTATACATGTTTATGAATATTTATGCGTGTTTATGTATGTTTGTACATATTTATACATATTCATGTATGAAAAATTTTTTACCGGGTATCGTATAAACATCAAACTTTTATCAATAAAATTTTATCAAAGTAAATTTGTTTGTAATTATATAACTAAAAAGAATAATTAATATTTAATAATAGTTATTATTTATTTTCGTATCTCTTGAAAATTTGCGAAGGAAACTTTACATTTTTTTTGTTTGAAAACTGTTTCAATTCTGTCGTTTTTCTTTTTTTATTATTTTTGGTTGAATAAAAGATCAAACGTCCCTACTAACGTAATCTCGGTATGAACCTTGCAACTCTCCGTAATTCTATGTAAGTCATTATATGAGCAATAACTGTCTCATTTGTTTATGTACCTGCGTCGGTAAACCGGCGACTCTTGAGTATGCCAGCGACTGAGGAATGACGGTGAGGCCCACGGTGATCCCGGCCACTAGATCTCCGAGTGCATCTTGAGTGTTGTACCTTGGCAGCCAGTTCAAGATCGGCAGTCTCTTGTAAAGGGTCTTCTTCGTGCATATGGCCCTGGCACGCCGCCTCGTGTGCTGCAATAGTGATTTCAGAAGACCTTCCTTCTGCTTGGCCTCGTCATCCCCCGGTTCTTCGATCACTATGTTCGCACATATAATTTTATGGTAAGAATATGATAGCAAGATTTGTAACATCCTTAATTTTCCTCTAAAATAAAAATAAACTATCGTATAAAAATGTTTTTTATTCTAGTATTCAGCAAATATATTTTATATAGTATATTAGAATGCGTCAAGTGTCAAATATTAACCTAGTAATAATTGTATCCTGTATCCTGTTTATGTGTGAGCTTAAATGTCAATAAAAATATAGAGAATATAAGTTCAGCCTTTTATTTATTTATATATTCTTTAAATACACTATATGAAAGTTTATTTTATAATATTTATTACACTTATATATATATATATATATATATAAAAGACCTTATTATTAACTCATGCAATCGTAATTTTTAATCTGTCAATTTATAGTCTATTGATTTGCATTTATAGTCTATTAATTTATTCACGTTTCCGGTGCTATTATTTTTATTCTTAGTTTTATAAAATCTTATATCGTGTTATAAGAAGATACTTCTGCCTTAAGCGATGTTTGCGATGACTAAATGCAAGAATGTTTTCAGTCCTTTTTCAATTATCATTTCAGTTACATAATTTTTTCATCCACTTGTAAAGCAAATAAAAATGATCTGAAAAAATCAGTTGGCTAAACTCCATCGTGGCCATGTACTTTTAACACGGCGGATTCACGTCTGTCGTATCATTCGTGGTTCGCCACGTTAGCCCATAAATAATTTCGTGCAGTACGCAAAAACGCAACGTGACATGCACGGTAACAAGGACGGAGCTCTTGTACCTACTCTCATACAGACAGCGCGACACTTGAATTTATTATCTTGGCGAAAAGAAGAAAGGAAAAAAAATATATATCGTATAAACATATACTACCGTATACACGCGCTGAGATGTATTTCTAAAAGCATTACGCGCTGTTCAGAAGACCGATCTTTCATTCGCCCGCCAAGGAAGGCGAACCAGTTTCGCGAAATAAAATCATTGACGACGTGCATGAAGGCATATTACCATAATCTTGCATTCGTTTAATGCCATCGGATGCAATGCAGTTTTGATAGTAGCTCCCAAAAATACGATCAAAAAAATTTTTTATTACTTATTTTATTACTAAAGAGATTTCTTTTTATTATTACTTTTGTACGCAATGCACAGGATGATTGACGCATGCGGGACGCGTGTGATATTATTTATGTAATATTAACGCTTGATGCATTCTAATGTATTAAATAAATTGTTGAATATATTAAAATAAATACATTTTCATAAAATTTTTTATCAAAATTGAGTTTATTATTATCACATTAAACGCGAAAAACAGCAATTATTGATGGAATTTTATCACAGATTTTTTTTATCTAACGACTATTATAAATATGATGCAGCTGAGACAAGGGTCTTTATCTTTGTAGTGCTGAATAAATTGGGGCCGCGGCTTACGGTTAACCCGAAGTTTGTATCGTAATGCAAAGCTCGATATCAATAAATTTACATAAAAATGTAAACAGATCAGAAAGTATTTACCGCCGTCTCTATTATACATTGTTATGTAAAACTAAATTAAAAATTCTCCAAACATTTTGCATTTGCTACTTTAAATGTATTTGCAAGTACATCTTACTTTCAAGATAACGTAAATGGCAACACGACAGAGATAATTCAACTTATCTCTGTGAAATTAAGTTTAGATAATGCGAGTCTCATGATCATCCTCGTGATCTAACATAAGTGAGATCTCAGTTGGTTTCGTCAGATGAGTCGCTATCACATGCCTATCCGAATATGAAGTTTTACGATAGATACTCACTTTCTTGACATCCTCGCCGCATAGAGAAATGAATTATGCTTTAAAATACGATTGTAAATATAGTGCGTTTATTCGTGGGCAGTTTGATAAATCAGTGACTTTTTAAAAGAAGACCATGTTAAAACATAAATCAAATTTTGATTTAAAAATAGAAGTTATTGATTTATCAAACTGTTCTAGTATTAATATTCCCTTTCTGAGTATTCATTCTGTGCAGCTAAGCGAAAAATACGATTTTGTGTATTTTCATTTAGAACTTACAGATGAAATCTGAAGAGCCCTGCATGTCACGATGGTTTCCGTGCGAATTGTGAAGAGATCGAAACGAATGAATGAGATCCACATTGTTGGTGGATTCGCTTAAGCCGTGATTCACGTAGCTCGCTAAACCCTGCCTGCTGTCCGAACTGCTACCGTCTTTCATTCTGAAAACGTAAAATACCAATTAATGCGTTTAGTCAATAACAATGACGACCAAATTTTCTGTTTACAAACGTTATTTAGAATGAAATAATGTACGTGTTTGTAAGAAGATAAAAGAAAATATATAAGATATAAATAAAGAAACGGAAAAATAATTTACTCATAAAAGAAGAAATCTTTCGTGTTTTGAAAGAGTTAAAAATATCACGGGCTTTCGATGGCGATTAGATTAATCGTAACATGTGACAATCGCGATCTCCACACTTTGATCGTTAGTTAAGACGATTGGAGATGATATTTACGAGTGAAAACACCACAAGTCTATTAAACTTGACCGTGAACCAAGTATTAATTGCAGTCAAGGCGATATTGTCACGAGAATGTCTTTAACTTACCCTACCTCGTCCATTATAGGAAAAATACATTATGAAAATATTACTATATATATGTATATATATCATAAATAAGATGATTAGATTCGACTTGATCCGCGGCGACTCGCTCCGACATTCGTGAAGCAAAGTCTGTCACTATAGACTATAGCCGCAATAAGAGATTTGTTTATCGTGAATAAACGAAAGCGACGCGGCGATTGTTTCTATCCAAACAAAAAGTAGATTAATGAAGAAGAAATTACATGTTTAATATTCATAATTATACAGAATTTATTATTAATTCATTATTATTAATTCAGTAACATATAATTATAAAGATAAATATATTAATTCAGTTCATCAAAATTCAGTCGACAAAATTTATCATGCGCATCTGTTAAACAAATTCGACGTTTGTGAAGAATTTTATCTGATTAATGTCAATTTTTATCAATGTAGATTAACTTCAATCTCGATTCAACTTTATCGCTTTTTTTACAAAATGTTTTTTAATCTTTCTGATGATTTATTTGACAAGCCTCTACGTATATTTAATCTCTTAATTTCATTTCTATTTTAATTTTGATTTAGCCAAAGACGATTAATTATAAGTGAAGTCGAAACGTACCTAAGTTGTTTAATTCTGTAAAAGAAAATTAGTTTTGATTTTTGTTATTTATGCTTAGTTAAACTAGTTTCCGATTTGTGACCCAATATTCAATTATTTATTTACTTGTGACCTATTTTTTATTTCGTTCGCTTTAACTTATTTTATATCTTTTCCTAATTCTTAGAACTAGTAAACAAATTAGTTTTAATCTCATTACATTAATAAAAATAGACAGAAACATCTTTTTTCTCATTGTGGGATTGCCAGTCCTTTTTCGCTAAAAAAAAAAAACGTCGAGCGGATGCAGCCCTCGAATGCAGGCCAGCTGCGTTACGTGAGCACGGATATCGTAATAACTGTAAGTGTCTCCATTTTATGTAAGACACTCGGTTTCATAACTTTTAAATCTTATACCCCCGGATCGATATTGCTTGGTGGCCGCGAGCGGTGCATTCGCGCATGTATTTCGCACGGAAATATCTCGCGCGCTTCTTCTTTTTATTGAAATTAAAGGAAAAACTTTCTTTCATTTTAGAACCGTGGGGAAATTACAATTCCGTAATTTACGGGTGTTTAATTTTGAGAGGCACGGATTTTCCGAAACGGTTTTGGTCCGTTTGTTCAACCTCCTTCCAAGCGCTTCAAATTAATTCTAATTTTTACGGGTATAATTTAGATCTTGTTTATGTACCCATTTCAATATAGATTAACTTTAATGTCGGTTCAACTTACTCTTCATCTTTTTTGAATTCTTACACGGAGAAAATTTTATATTAAGTTTTAATACAATTTTTTAAATTACACTTTACTATGTCTTGTATTTTCGATGGACTCTCACAACATGATTCCGACTTAACTATGGTAATACTAATTTTTATCACATAAATAAAGTAATTATTTTGTTAAGCCATATTCTAACATGAAAACAGTTAATTTTTACTATGGTACAAAATTTGCTAGGTATATTTGATTTTGTAATAAAAAATTTGCTAGGTATATTTGATTTTGTAATAAAAAATTTTTACTATAGAAAAGTGTAAAAATTACGTTATATTATTGTTTTTAAAAAAATAACTATAGCATTTAAACTTATAATTTACATGAAGACCGCAGCTACCACTACATTATAGTAATTTTAAATATAAAATTTTCTCCGTATAGGACTAGAAAAAGATAAAGAGTTTGTAAAGTTAATCTATAGATTAACATGATCTACAAGTGTATACATTTGTAGAAACGGGAATTAGAGAAGATTTTTTTTTTCTTTGATGGGTGTGTAATGTTTGTAATAATTCGCATGATAATCCTCGCTTGAAAGATATGCTCCGATACCAAAGCTGTTCGCATTGCATAAGCGCGAAGCATGCAAGCATAATTTTACATTAATCATTACAATTAGCCGAACAATTGCAATAAATACAATCAGTTAGGTAATTAATTTTGTTGACATACTTTCCCGTTCGATTCATTGATTCCGAAATTGATGATCCCAGAATTAACGTTGCAATTTTTATTTTTACAACTTGTTCGCATTTATGATGTCACTAACACTTGATCGCAATCACACACAAAATTTGCTTAAGTTTTATTTGAATAACGCTTCTCTTTTCGTGCACTTTTTATGCTTTATGCTTTTTATGCGTTACACAATGAACATCATTATCATTAATCAAATAATTATAATGCTTGATACACAATGAATATAATATGATATGAGAGCGATGTAGAATAGTAGTTTTGTTTAAAAAGGCGTGACTGTCTTATTGAGATAATTTTATATAACGTTAAATTCTACAATTAATCAAGAGTTAATTAAATTCTATGCACTCTGTGCATATTTAAGATCCAAGTTTCATGCATATTTAAATTTAGTTCTAAGAGTCGCGCTTATCTTTTTTGATTCTAATTATATAACAATGCTGCGACGAAAGCGACGAGTCTTTTTAATAAACTTGTTAAAACAGAAACAAATTAAGAGTTTTTTTATCACAGTTTAAGAGCTCCTGTCGAGTATCTTCTTTATTGCGTGCGATTTTATGAATAAATAAAGATTATCGTTTCAGCGACGTTCGTTCGAGGAGGTAGGTCTTCAAACGTACGTGTCCGAATGTAAACTGAAATAAAATATGTCGTCTCTCTTATGCGCCAAAGTGTGACACGTCGACGAACGCGGTCGGTGTTTGGTAGAACTGGCGTAATTCACTGTTAGAAGTCGCAATTACTACAAGTGGATTCGATTGACTGGCGTCATTTCGTCTGATTGTTTCGCCAATACCATGACGTTTACTTACACAAATGAAAGTAAAATGAAAATCGAAAGGGGAAAAGTCTATTCCGTGATTGTGCAATAGCTGCGACGGTGCACGTATGTTTCACTGCGATGATAACTTTGACAAATTCCTTGTCTCCTTATTGCATGAATATTCCGAAGAAAAATAATGATCTGTTTAAATATCATAAATATTGAGCAATAAGTCAGATAATCTTGTAATTTCCTCATTTCCGCGCTCATTGTACGCATAGTTTGTCCGAGATTTGTGAGTCACGCACGTAATACATTTACATGTTTTAATAACGTCAGCATGGTTTTAAGAGGAAATAAATGTAAATTAAGATACCTGTTCGTGCGTTAATTACATTGAATCATTTAATGAAAACGGAATAATAAAACAAGACGCATGCATGCAATGTAAAAGATTTCAAGAGTTAATGATATTACCGATGTTACAGTTATTTGCAGCAGAGTATAATGGTATGTAATAATAATATCTATTTATTATAAGTTATATTCATTTAATAATAAAAAATCAAAATTAGAATATATTTTAACTTTGTTCGTGCGAAGGAAATTATTTTATTGGTACTTCAAATGAGAATTTATTTTATTCTTTTTCAAATTGTTTTATAAATAATAGAATTAAAATTATTAATTGATCTATAGATTTTAAATCGTTAAATTTATGAAAAATTTATTCTGTGCTAGTTACATGGTAGATCTTCTCTAAAGAATTCCTATTTCTGAATTGTAATTGTAATTTTTTAAACAATATTTTTCTGTTAAAAAATTTCTAAGATAAAAATTACGACATTTATAAGAGATATTGTAAACGTCAAAATTGTTTGCGTAAAATAGCAATTAATATTGCGATCACGTATAAGTATAATTGTTTCACTTACGTATTTGTCACGTGCACATTCCACACAACTGGAAGATGATTAATGATTTCCAGTGTTGTCGATCGAAATAAAAAAGAGAGAAAAAAAAGACGAACATGTTGCATCAAAACTAGTTTTCTTATCGTATTAATAATTCATTTCAAATTGTCACGTATTAATCATTTAGAAATTAATAATGAAGGACACCTATGCAAAAATTTTCTAATATGTAACTACCGATATGCGACTATGTAAAAAAGCGATAATTATACAGTTAAAAAAAAATTATCAGAAAAATGACGTTGTTTAAAATAGATAAAGTTTTTCCTTCGTTTCGAGCTCTTTTAGTCTGACAAATTTTTAGTTTAGTGACGATCGATGTTATCGAATCTCTAGAAAAACTTATGCAATAATATATTTTAAATTCAGTTGATACTCTAAATAATATTTTATTTTACTTTATATGTGTGCGTATGTCACATTTTTAACGAGCACAATCTACGGATTATATTATCGCGAATATATCAATAAATATCATAAAATATGTATGTGTGTGGTGATAAATGCAATTCAGTGTACCAACTTCACGTGTTCAAGCTTGTTTTGTAAACGTGCACCTCGATAAGCTCGACGGTTTCCCGAATGCATATACACATAGATCTTGTTGCATTAATAAGCATTAGTCTTTGAATTGGCTTAGTTGCAAGTGAAAAGATTGTCAATTGATAAACGCACAATGCAAAACGCGTCCGCTTATCGCTTTGACAATGATACTCTCTCGCGTCAAGGTCTAAGTCGAAGTCACCGCGAACTAGAGTACATAATTACATCTAATTATATGCTAGACCGAAAACTCAGATAAACCGCAAACGGATGGATTAATGTCAGTTTGTGCAAATCGATGGAAAATTGATCATTATCATACGCGCAGCGAAGACACGCCAGTTCTCAGTATTCTTCGGGTTATCGAGAACAAAATCACGGGGAAGTATCATCTGAAGTACAACACCTGACAAAGATTCCATCAGGGAAACATAAGCGAGCCATTGTCGTAAATAGATAATCGTTGATGAGGTCGGTTGAAAAAATTTCCTACGTATTGACTATCAGACGGAAGTACGAACGGAATGTGTTGGTACAGAAATTTGGAATTGGAATTAGTTGGAGAATAAACAAGTGCCTTACTAGTGTATTTAATTTAATAAACGCATTTCCGTCTATATATAATCGTCACATAAGTTGTTGTAATCTGATGGTTAATTTAATCGAACACTAATAAGGAAATATTATCAAAAGATGATTTAACTTCTTTTTTGTACGTGTATACAATATTATCCTTTCATGGGAAACGTCACGTTAGTAATTATGAAAACTATTTTATTTTATGTTAAGCTATTTTTTACGTTATGTAAGACTATTTCAAGTAAAATTTTTATCTAAAATTACAAAACTAAAGGCCATTAATAACTATAATCTTATCTAGTCAATATTATAGTTATAATATAAGTTTGTAATTTATAATAGATTTTTTATAGTTATAATATAATATAGTCTATTTTTCAAAATTATTATTTTAATGATATCTTCATTTTATTTTGTGATTTTATTTGAGTTTGTCATCGCACAAAAGTCGTTCATGTAGATTAAACATTTTTATAAATTTTATCTAACTTTATATTACAAAAAGACATATAATTATTATTTATAATCTAATTTATAATACATTTTTTTATAGTTATGTAATGTTTATATAATGTAATTTATTTCTCAAAATTATTATCTTAATAATAATTTCAATACTTTGTTATTTTATTTGAGTTAAATTTATCATCGCACGAAAGTCGTTCATGTAAATTATATATTTTTATAAATTTTATGACTTTATATAATAAAAAGATATATAACTATTATTTATAATCTAATAAAATAGAAAGTATGATTTTATATAAACTTGTGCAAATCTAATCAATCTAAAAATAATATAAAACATTAAATATATATATTTAATATTTTGAACTTTTTTATTTTAATTAGACTTATTAAACAATTAATGAAATATGCAAATAAATAATAAATGTAAATCGTTTCTATATTTTTAAAACGCAAAATCTTAATTTTTTAAATTTTATTCTTAAAATTAGTATTGATCATCAAGATATTTAATTTAAAAAGAAAAAAACTCAAATTTAATAATAAATTGCAATCTTTATGGATGTTTTTTTATCTCAATTTTAATAACTCTAGAAATAGACTAAAGCAAAGATGTAATAAAAATTACACTCACTTAGATGTTTACTAAACACTCTGGCTTAAAGAAGATCCGTTTTGATTTACGGTGTCTATCCTTTCAAGCAGAAGAAAGAGTCACAAAATGGTAAAGAATGCGTCAGTTCTTCTCCTCGAGGAATTCGAAAGAAATTTCACGTTTCAATTTCAAGAATTTTCCTCTCTGCTACGTCGAGGCATCACAATCACACGAATCGAACCCCATTAAGGTTCTCGTCGGCATTCGTCAGTGAGAAAAACGAACATTCGCCGCGGATTTGCTCCTGCGAATTTTCCGGTTTTCCGGAAAATTGGTTGGTCCTCTCTTCACAGCGTTTCGTTCTCCAGCTAGTTTCTAGCCACTAAAGAGGATATCGAAACAAAACTCGAAAATAAAAAAACCGCTTTTAAAAAGTAATATTTACAAATTTATAATACATGCATGTAAGTATTTATATACGTCGGGTATACAAGATTTCGGACTGGTTTTCACGACGCAATAGTTAAACTGAGTTCCCGACGACGTTCGGCCGGCCATTTAAACGCATCGCGCGGGGCAAACTCCCTCTCTCTCCTCGGCGACCTCAGCCTCCCCCGCGACGACGTCGTGAAGAACACTAATCGTCACGTGGTGACTCGAGCCTGGCTGCCGGGAATTCGATTAGATCACGCGCTATCGGTGTAATGCCCTCCGCCGGGAGAATTTTCTAGCATATAAAACCGTGCCATTCGTTCGCGTGTGAGTATCAGTTGAGAAATCTTCCGATCACCCCGTTAAATCTTGCTGATATCCTAGAGGTCGGGACGTCTTAATTGATCAGACAGTCTATTATAGTCTCCGCTCACGAGTCACGAGGTCCGCGATAGGTGAATAGGTCGATATTTATGTTGACACGACAAAGTAACGGATGGCTTCACGAGGAAAATTAATGACCGATGCTTTAATTTAAAATATTGCATGCTGCGATAAGATTTTCGAGGATGGATACCGTAAGTCTTTACTTCCGACCTACAGCAAGCGATTTGCGCCCCTCCCTTAATTTAATTGTTATAAAGTGTTGATGCAGTTTATCGTTCGCATTTTTCTTTATTGCAGAGATGAGACGCTATAATCTTTGTGATAAATGGATATTTGGAAGTCAGTTTAATTTTGAATGTCATTGACGCTATTTATTTATTAAGAGCTTATTATTAATTGGACCCCTTCTCAGATTTGTGAACATTGCAGTGTACATCAAATTTTATCCGTTAAAATTATTTAATTTTTCACATCATTAGAAACCAGATAATAATATACATGTTGGAAAAACAGTCAAAATTTTGAAAAAAAATTAATTTTTTACTATAAATTACTTATTAAAGTGCTCTTGAATTGAAAAAAAAAATACGAAATCTCAGATCAGGGTACCTATTATGGAAATATGTCGAAATGGATTCCGATCGGAATTATTCCATTTTCCCTAGAAAACACAATAGAAATCTAGGGAATAATTGAATATTTCCGATCGAAATCGATTCCGACTTGTTCTATGATAGGTACCCTGAAGGTTAATAAAACAAAATGTGATATTGCTGTATCTATGCTAATTTTCGTTTTTTCAAACTATTTTCCAACAAATTCGTCTGGTTTAAATAAAAAAGTGCATTAACATTCTTTCTCTTTTCTAAGGTATCCATGGCTGAGCAGCACGTGCTCAACGTAGCTTGCAATAATTAAAGCAAAAATTTATTATGAAAATGTATTATTGAGAGAAAAAAATAGCTCGAAGGTAATTAAATAATTATTATAAAATTGCACAGAATAATCTTCTTCTCACCCAGATTTCTTGTTTTCTCAGTTTTAATATCCTCACCTCATATCTGCACTAGTCGACGATAACAATCGTAATTGTATATTCTCTGTCGTTAAACCGACCAAGCGAAAATATGTTTGCTTAAGAAATCCTCATCGTGGAGGTATAAAAAAAGCAAAAACTTTTGTGCATATCTTTTACTGTGTCTGTCATATACATATTCGAAAGAGTATGTATCCATTTTTCACTTTATGTAAAAAAATAAATCATTATTTTATATTAAATATTAAGATGGTTTGTATATTATCTATAAGAAATCTAAACTTGAATAAAGATTTCTCATTTAATATGCACTAATACTTTACAATTTCCAATACAGGATCTAATAATAGCTATAAATGTCAACACACATTGAAAGGCAATAGAAATGCATTTACATCGTTGCATATTTAAAATACTAGATAAAGAAATTGATCAACTTTGGTTATACATATTATATATCTTTTTTGAATAAGAGAATTTTAATAATTACATGAGAAATAAAATATTTTTGTATCAGAAATTAAACATCAATACCCCGATAAGGCATTCTTATATCTTTAGCCATTAAGTTTAGCCATTTCACGGATAATTACAATAACAATTAAGCTAAGTGGGTCATATTGTCAATACGTTTATGTATGTACGTAAGGTATAATACGTTTCGTAAACAGCTCTTGATAAAATTAATTGATAAAACTAGTTGCAAACAAAATGTTGAATGACTAAATATGCACTAACACTCTCGTGCCTTCTGCGGAGAGGGATTTTTCAAGCAAACATATTTTCGCGTCTCGTCGGATTCAGTATTTAATGCAGGAAGAATGTGCAATCTTGATTGCTCGTCGATTAACACGAAACTGAAATGAGATATAAGATAAATAAAAAAGATTCGAATCATCGAACAGTAGTTACGCAAAAATGGTTAAATTAATTATTAAAATAATTTCCATTATATTTCTTTAATTTTTATTAGGTATATTTCTTTCAACAATATTTTGTGTAATTTGAGTACAACATATAATTTATTTCAATATTTATTGTATATTGTAATATAATAAAACTTTTATTTTTTTATATCACTTACGACTAATTTGAAGTTTTTAAACAACTGTAAAATCTTAATCTACATTAAACTATATAAAATGTATTTTCTGGCGTTTTATATTTTCTTTTTTATTACATGTAAGTTAATAATTTTTGCACAGTATCTTCTAAATGTCAGAAATATTTCAAATTGAGAATAATATTGTTTACGATGTAATTAAATATTGTTATAATAAAATATTTAATTGTTCTGTTAACTTTTTTCGTATCCCTAATCAATTATCGTAAATATCTATGCTCCAAATTAATTCACAGAACCATCAATGATGAGCCCTAGTTCTGTGAATTAACCTCATTGCATACTTACTTAACATTTGGATATTGGTATTAAATTAAAATATCATTTATAATTTATATGACAACTTGTTGACTCGTGACGTCACATCGAAGAAGTCGCAGCAAGTTTTTCTGACGTAAATAAATTGACGTATGAACCGTGGGAAAAACTTGTACCGATATAAATCGGTGACGTTAGGGTTTCGCCGTCACATTTACCACATAAAAAATTTTCTCAGATTTGTAAAATGTTTAAGAGGTATTAGAAACGATTTTCACTTGAAAATACGTTAAAGCATTGTATTGCATAGCAGAGTTCATATAAATGCAAATATCATATTCTATATTATTTAAAATTTTCTAAATAATTATTTTATGTGTGTGTATATAAAAATGATTAGAGAAAACTGAAATTATAACCGCAATAGAAAATCACTAATCAAATAAGTAGTATAAAGAATCGTTATCTAAAATGATTATATTGCATCTATATTTCAAATTTAATGCTAAAGTCCAATTAATGCATTCAATATTATCATAATCGTCAATATCTGATAAAAACATCTGCTAAATAATGATTGCTGAATAATGACTAAAGAATTTCAAAGCTTATGTATTTTCTTAATAACTATTTCTGTTGAGAGAGTAAAATAGAAATAAATAAAGCGTTGCATGAGAAAATGTCTAATTAAATATGATAAATATGATAAATTTTAAGAATATATTGAGAACCACTGCGTCAAGTGTAAGTTCAATTGCCTTAAATAAATACATTGCATTATGTAATTATATGAATGTGCCATGAAATCTCGTGACTGGTCCCAGTCACGGGACAGACATTACTTTCCGCACTTCGCGCCAGCAATGAGATTTCAAGGTAATCTCGTTGTTTTGCGGCATTTTAATCGGTCACGTGTTTTCAGTTGATCTACCAATCTGATAACACGCTGGTGCCAAAGAGCTTTGCGGTTCGACAATAAATCCATATTGAATCGACTCATATAGAGATATGGGAACGTTAGACATTATGGACATCAAATAACACACCAATTTCCATGGATATCTTCTTTCGACTTTTTCATTTATTTCTCATATTTTTGGATATAAATTCTCCGCCATTACATAAAAATGTATAATATTTTAGCTTAATTTTATTTTTCAAGTTTTCGAAGGAAACAAAGAGAGCTAGAAAGAAAAGAGAAAGAAAAAATTAAAAATAGAGTAGATAAAATTATTTACTAAAGAATTATAAAATATAAGTAGTTTTCTAATATTTAAAGACTGTTAAGCTGAATTATTTTTATCACAACTTTACAACTTTTAACAGTAACTATACTATAGTTTTGGTAGTAATACTTTATTTTCTATACTAAAATTCTTATCTATCTACAGTCTCGGTTTTAATATTTAAAAAGGCTTCGTTTTCGTCCTACATTTCTCTTGGTTTATTAAGTAAGGAAAAACTGCTTTCCTGTAACTAAATGAATAAACAGTATTACATATTGAAAAAAACTTTTCTCTCAATATAATCCATAATACTCCCACAAATTCGAATTAATTTGTGCAATCAGTGACCTGTCGATTACTTTAATTAATCGAATTTTATGACTCATCCTGATACCGTTTAGTACGAGAAAAATTGACATAACTAGTGTCTAAGTGAAAGCACGTGCTACAAATTTTGCACATAAACAGTGATTAGGCCGGAGTCGCCTTGGAATTTAATGCGTCATAATATATGACCTCACAAGAGGATATACTTCAACAATAATTAACGGGGGAGACATAATTATTAATGACGAATCAAACAGCGGCATTTATTCGCACAGCTCCTGCAGATTCTTAATAGCCTTTAAGAACAAATACTTTTATCTCGCGGTGGCTTTCGCGAGATCCTCTCGCTCGGGATTGATCTACTGAACTATCGAACTTCTATCTCGATCGGCACGTCGTCGAGATACTGCCTCTTAAAATCAACATGCAACTCGTGTTTTCTTGCAACATGCAAGTTTAACGTAATACGGTTTAGTAAGACGCGATAGTGAGACTTCATACATATTTGATAATTGCAACCTTGAATTTGAAATACTGATTTCTGTGGTAAATTCTCATTTTTACTGGCTACAAGAACAACTTGTGACCGCAAGATTGCCCAATGTGACGTAAAAATCAACATCATTCGTTTGACATGAATTTTCCGTATGTAAAACAAAAGCTGCTATAAAAATGTGTGAATCATTGGCGTTTCGTTTGACTGTTTTTTCAACTTCGCGATTGA